CTGACTAAAAACTTAATCGTAGTGTCTTCTCAGTTATCTTCAACGAAACCTGCATAGTAGAGGGAGTGCTGCCAAATTATTCAATTATATATATATATATATATATATATATATATATATATCCAAATATAGGATTGGTGTATACGGAATAAATTCCAATAACCAACAAATAATATTCTTAAAAGTGTGCTCAATACAGAGTAGAGCAAATATAATCATTTATTCGAAAATTATAACATAAATATGTTATAAAATCACTACAAAAATAGCCATTTTGTTTCAACACTCCTGGTTCTTACCATCACTTGATAAGAACCAGAGGTGTTGAAACAAAATGGCTATTTTTGTAGCGATTTTATAACATTTTTGTTATAATTTTTGAATATATATATATATATATATATATATATATATATATATATATAATGCATTTAAGTCCGAAAATTATTTAATATATTTTCTGTTTATACATTATTTTTATAGAGACAATTTCTTTAAATAAATGCTTCGTCTTTAATTAAACAGTATTAATCACATTTAACAGATGAATGTTCGAGAAATTTCGTAGAAAATATGCGTTCTTCGACAGTAATCAAACCTGTATTCCTATATGGATCTGATGTACTATACTATTTAGCTACTGAGAAGCGTCTGGTTAGCGAAGTCCAAATCACTATTTTTAAACGCACAATCTTCGACGATTTTTTTCGATCGACCATATCTGCTCAGGAAACATATCCTGATGCAAACAATGACAATATATAATGAAATGGCTTAAGACCGACAATTATTTAATATATTTTTTGTTTAAACGTTATTTTTTTAGATACGATTTTTTTTAAAGTAGCTGCTCTGTATTAATTACACACACACACACACACACACACACACACACACACACACACACACATATATACACACACCCATATGTATATCAAAAAATTCAAAATTTTTTTTTCAAAACGAGTATAGTTATCTATCTATCTATCTATCTATCTATCTCTATCTCTATCTCTCTCTCTCTCTCTCTCTCCATATATATATATATATATATATATATATATATATATATATATTGTGCGGCATAAATACCTCCTACAAATAGCTCTCACATAATGGTAATATGAAGACGCCATCGCCACTAATGGCTTAACATTATGTGGGAGGTGTTTTTGTGGATGCATGAAGGGTAGTTATTTCGCTAGAATCCTCTATATATTGAGACGTCATGTGTAGAACGTTTTCAAAACGCCTGTAAACAATGGAATACGAAATGAATGCGGCTAGTTTGCTACATTGTGCATGGCAAGGTGGGCCATGGCCGTGAAGGAAATAATGATAATAATGGAATTAAGGAATTTAGTCCGTCTGAACAGTTTCCATGGAAATAGCGAAAGAGTAGCAAAGCGCATACCATGTTTTGTCAGTGGGAAAGTGGTTAATCTGATGTTGACTTTTGCACGCACTTAATATAATATTGCAATATGAAAAGAGTTCCTATTGTTCTCGCCTGCAACTGTATGGAAGTAGAGGGTGAAACGACGTCTGCTGATCTTTTACGGAGACCAGTTAGTGGATTTGAACATAGGTTGTAGTAATGCGTTTCAGAAACCACGGCAATGATGTATGCAAAACGCCATCTTCTGACGGCCCTGTGCAGGCGTCAACACACGAAATTAAAAAAACGTGTCAAAATATCATCGCTAGGGGTGATGAATATTTGGGAAATATTTTTGTTTTTTTAATAGACATCTTTGTTTACCTAATAGTGCCGTTTCGTTGCTTCGAGCTTTTGTAGTTTCCATTGTAATAAAGAAGAGTCATTACTTTCAATACATTCATTGTATTTAAAGAGCTTGACTGTCCTTTATTTTTTTATTTTACTATAAAGGAAGGACAAGGGGAGAGAAACACATTTTTCCTTTCATAGGTTGTCACGTATTTCCTGAGAATTTAAAAAAATTAATTCAATTCAACCAACGCACTAAATGTTTATCTAGAATCCGGTGACATGCACAAAACAAACAGCTCATCAGTGACAAGTTTACTGACTTTACACTACAGGCTGATTTTGTACTGCATTTTAATATATCAACCATAATAAAATTCATTGTTTAATAACCCGACGGACATTTTCTTACGTTTTTTTTTTTTTCATACCTGTGTATCTCGACAAATGTGAATTTCAAAATAACGGCTGATTTCTTATTGTAACGTTTTGTAGATTTAGAAAGACGGTCGTACATGTCAAGCTTTGATCTTATTTATACCAAGCTGTTGTTGATCCCCTGTCCTGTTACTCTGACGCCATTTTGTTTTCCAAATTTACAATTTTACCATCCCTCAGTTTCCCATACAACTTATATATTTATACATAAAACAAGTGCAAGAAGTTTAAATATCTGGGGAGTATTTTAACAGAACAAGGAAACTGTAACACTGAAATCCGAACGCGGATTGGGATAGAAAATGATGCCTTCCAAAACCTAAGCAATGGACGAAGAAACATGGACATTTTGTTAGAAACAAAGAAAATAGTACTGAACAGTCCTCCTATATGGTAGTGAGTGCGGAACAATCGCCTCAAACATGAAGAAGCGAATTGAAGCAAATGTAGTTCCACAGATGAATACTGAGAATTCCATGAACTGAGTGTTTAAGCAAAAAAGAAGTCTTACGTAAAATGGAAACAAAAAGAATCCTTATACTCAGAATCAGAAAGAGATAGCTGAAATTACTTTTCTCAAGTCAAGAATTAATCCAAGAGCTACTCAGAGAATAATGTTTTCATATATAATAGTTATAACATGTCAAGCGTGATTCTGCTATTCATACCAGCAAAACCTTTTATCTAATCCTTCCTTCTTCTGGTCTTTTCTACCATTTAGCTTGTTACAAATTAGTCACCAATCAAGCAAACTTTTACTCCACCTGTTAATTTTTTGCTATATCCTACCAACTTCCGTTCGTTTGATCCTGCCGATGGGATTTAGAATACGCCGATTGCATTCTCTATAGTTTGGTAAGAAACACATCAGAGGGGTTACTTCTCGGGTGGATATTTGCATATTCAGATATTAACCCAACCCGTATATACCTGTAGATTTAAGTATAAACCCGAAGAGTGTCTACTTATAGAGTCAAGTGTAAGCTCGAATAAAGTTTATGTATAGATTCAAGTAAAAGTCTGACTAATGTTTACCTATAGACTTAAGTATAAATTCGGCAATCGACTCATATATAATCATGATTAATATTCAACTACAGACTCATGTATAAATATGACTAATATTTACCAATAGACTCAAGTATAAATATGACTAATGTTTACTTATAGACTGATGTAAAAACTCGGTCATCGACTCATATGTAATCATGACTAATGTTTACCTATAGATTCCAGTATAAATCTGACAATATTTCTTTTTAAACATTCGGGTTAAACACGATCTGCGTTTCCCTATAAACGCAAGTATAAACTCAACCACTGGTTCCTTATAGATTCGGTCCCAAGCACAGTGTTTCGCTATAGACTTAAGTATAAACCCGACCAGTGTTTACCTATAGACTCAAGTAGAATAAAAAAAACACAGACTTTGGGATTAAGTAACGCAGGAAGGGTTGATGAGTCGTAAAATCCATTAACCTACCCCCAACCCAACTAAATCCATAGATGTCTTTTAATATTTTCTATAAAGTCTCGTTCTCTATCCTCTGATTCTTCTTTCTTTTTTTTTAAAAATCTTTTAATGTTCTTCATAATTCTACATTAATCTGAGAGAATTCTTACTCTGTTTTCAAACAAATTACACACCTATGTGTCCTCTCATGCATTGTGCACTAACAATGCAGCACTTTGTATTTTAAGTGCATTTGCAATCTGAATTTCATGAAAACTGTATTTTTGTTCTTGATATAATGGAATATGCATACACCTGTGTTCCCCCTCACTGGAATACGATTGGCTGATGTCAGTCGTAAATACAGACGGACGTCTAGATACGACAGAGTTTAAGTCTATGACGACGCCCATTGGACTACGCCGTTGGCTATCCTATTGGTCTACACCTATTACCTGCGATTATGACGAGTACTAGTCGATTACTGCTACCGTGTACTACTTGGTTACAGTAGCCAAACCGACTTATCTACTTCGATCAAATATATCCCCTTTCCAGGATATATCAGTTCTGTGCTTCCCCTCCCCAACAGAGGACATGTTTGTCATTTTCACAGTCTTTAATTTCATGAAATAACTTTCTTTTACGTCCGGTTAAGTTTTCAGCGTTTTCATCTATTCTCTCCATTTCTTTTCAGTATTTTACAACCGAATGTTACATTTGTTTTATTTCTTTCCATTATTACCCCGAGATGGTGACATTGTTATTTAGCGTGGGGTCTGGAAAATTCTAAGTCTAATAATGAGGATTCTGAGATTTGGTCATATTTCAGAAAGTGCGTTTCGGGCCGATAAATTTTCATCAATTCAAGTCCAACGAATTTAAACGAACCATGAAATTTTCAGTCCTTGCCGAATTTTGAAATATCAGCTTGCTACACTAGCAGTCAAATCGCACATGTCCCAGCGCGGAAGACAATATATTGAATGTAGAAGTCATTCATTATTAAGCCACAGCACACAGCTGGGTATTTTCCACTGGGTAGGAAGAAATCCGTTACAGGATCAGAATGTTATGAACAAATCCCTATTTCTAATCGGTCAAATTTGATCCGCTTTCTGCAGAATTATGTCACTTTTATCTATCATGCAGCTAGGTAGAGATGGAAAACACTTAACCCGCATTACATTTGGAATATTTATCGCCCTCCTTCGCCGATGGATGCCTAGACTAAACTTGCGCAGTTTCACGTAGATAACGAAACACATGGCCTATAGGCAGAGCCATTTATCAATCTAGGCAGACACGAGGGGAATCGGGAACTGATAAATACTACTGGATGTTAGTGGATCTTTAGCTCGTCTTGTTTTAAAACTTCAGTTTTTACCTTCCTTCTTTCTTTCCTTCTTTCTTTCTTTCTTTCTTTCTTTCTTTCTTTCTTTCTTTCTTTCTTTCTTTCTTTCCTTCCTTCCTTCCTTCCTTCCTTCCTTCCTTTCCGTTCCTTCCTTCCTTTCCGTTCCTTCCTTCCTTACTTACTTACTTCCTTTCCGTTCCTTCCTTCCTTCCTTCCTTTTTTCTTCCTTCCTTCCTGCCTTCCTTCACAACCTTCCTTCCTTTTTCCCTTCCTTTTTTCCTTCCTTCCTTCCTTCCTTCCTTCCTTCCTTCCTTCCTACTAAGAATTTTATTAAACATTCAGGAAATGTCCTTCCACACCTTCAATTTAACAACTTTGCATTCTAGCAGAACGTATTTACCGTATATACTCGCGTCTCATGCACCTTTTGAAGCTACCGTCAATGGATATGTTGTTTGGTCAACAACAGTACATACGCTAATAAGATATCTCATGTATGATGCGACCTTCTTAAAATTAGCTTCAAAATTAGGTCTTCAATACGCGAGTATATACGGTATTTACTGAAAAAATTCTGTTAAAAAATATTTAAATATTCCAACCACACCTTTTTCATTCTAATCTCCCCGTCTATTTGAAATATTGCACTTTCAAAATTTGATTCCTATTTTTATTACGATGATTTCCGCGTTTGTTTTCTGCTTAAACTTTTTCAAGTCCACGCCATTTTCTTGTTTCGTTAATGTCCTATTTGGTGTCATATTTAAACGGCGTTCGTCGAAAAAATAAGTACCAAATAAAACTTGGCTTTTTATGTCATGGCATCCGATAGGCTGATAACCGAAACAACGTAACCTACATGTACTTATACATAACTTCATATTATTTTAACATTTTAACACAATTATTATTATTATTATTATCATTATTATTATTATTATTAAACAAAATGATTTACGTAACTCTTCTAATAATTTGTAATACTTAAAAGAAGAGGTCTATTTAAGAAAAGGAACAGAAAAGAAGAGACACAGTGTTTAACAATGTTTAACAATATCTGAACAGGATATCGGTCTATTTTTCAAGTTATGTTTAAAAATTTCACCAAAATATAAAAAATATTTTTAAAAACCCATAAATCTTTGTACAAACGTCGCTAGTCTGTAGAAACACATTTGTATTGTATTGTAAGTGACAAAACCAATGAAACGCAGCCTGTGTGAATGGAATGCAACTTAAACATGAGTTGTAGTCGTGGTAGTAGCAGTCATTAACACCCGCTCGCATTTGAGTATCGGGATAGTCATCCGCCCTCTTTCCTTTCTCCGCTCTGGTGGTGGTGGTGGTCGTGGTGGTGGTGGTGATAGTTGGAGAGGACCAGCCTACACCTGAAGAGTAATCAAAGAGAGTCTGACGAGGCCATTCGCTTGATTTTGATTTTGGTGGATAACTCTACGCGATAGAAAGGTTCACACACTTGGCCAGAAGCGCCTCTAACCCTCTTAGGTCAAAGGATTTTGATACAGGTCAGATCTGGTAAATCTGGATGCCAAATACTTGGTCTTTCAAGGTGCGCTTTGGTTACGCTAGCCCGGTCGGCACTGCTCTTTTCAACCTGTTTAGCCAGTGAGTCTAAAACAATAATCCTAAAACAAATTTCCTTATTTCTCAATTCCTACATTTCCTATGAACAGAGCACCAACGCATGATTTAATAATCCCTTAATGCGTGACAGTCACCATTCAGACTTTTATGACGACACTATTTACACACACAAATACATACATATATGTATATATAATATAAAAAAAAGATGCCATCAATTGATTCTTTAGAATAAAAAAAAATAAAAACGAATGCACGTTTATGCATTTCGACTTCTCCAGTTTCTACCCAGAAGATCTACTAGTAGCGGCTATAAACATGACTAAAAATGATTGCACCATCACCATCAATCATGAAACAAGTCCAGAAACCTATCTTGTTTCACGATGGTTCCATGTGGACCAAAAAAGACAACCCAAATGTCTCCATAGCAATGAGAGCATTCGATTCTGCGGAAGCTTGTGAATTGGTTGGTATATTACAATTGTGGAAACTTGGATATAATTTTGAGAGCAACAACACTGGTCTGTACAGAGATGACGAAATTATCCTCCTAAGTAATAACAACCCACAAAAACAGATCGCCTTAGAAAACATTTTATTAAATTCTTCAAGCATCCTTGATGAAATATCACGCCTTACACCAATGCCAAGGTGATTAACTTCCTGGGCGCCACTTTCGACCTATCTAAGCGAATGTACAAGCTTTTCCCTAAAGGAATTTTTAGTCATAAATACATTACCCCCCGCCACAGGAATTATAAATAATTTTCCCAAATCAATGCAACATAGGCACTCTACTAACTCTAGTAATAAAGATACTTTTGAAAAATATAAAACTAGATGCACTAATAAAAAGCAAACAAAAAGTTAATAAAAATACCTCGACAATAATAAGACTGACAACTAAACACATAAAAACAGAAAACGCAACCTAATTTGGTTTAACCTACCATTTGATGGTAATGTCAAAACCAACATTGGTAAATTTTTCCTTAATTTAATCCACAAGCATTTCAACAATATTCCATAGCTTAATAAGATTTTCAACAAGAACAACATTAAAATTAGCTACAGCTGTACACAAAACCTTGAGCAATATATAGGACTTTATAATAATTTAATGTTAAATAGTTAAACAACTTAAATAGTAATAATAGTATCAACAAAAATTGTAATTGTCGAAAAAATTAGTAGCTGCCCACTAAATTCTAAAT